CTCCAAGTCAAAGACACCAACACCTCGGCGGCGCGTTCCACCTCTGGCCTCGCCAAAGCGTAACCGTCAGAGAATTTCTATAAACGTTCGCTCCACTCCCCACTCCAATGGCCGTTACAGAGCTTATGTGGTTTCCCGCTTATGCCAAATTTCAGATTCATAATTAAAACCGCAAAGTGGACTAGCTGAATGTCCTTTTTTTCAAACGTCCATACCGAATATTTTTCTTCATTTTTTTGCGGTTATTTTTACGTTTAACTTGAGAGACGTAGAACAAAATGCGAGCAGCTGTAGAGGCTTCATTTTCGACGTTTCGAGCAGAGCCTGCTCGCAATGCGTAAAGTTTCTTAAAAAAAAAAAAAAAAAAAAAAAAAATCCCAAACTTTTTTTTTTTTTAATTATGGATGAAGTTATGCTTTATGTCCTGTAGATTGTTTATTACCTATTAGTGTGGTACTAAAGAAATACATGAATGGGATAGTGTCGCATAGAAATTAAGAAGCATTAAGTTTGAATGGGTACGTTTTTAACAGCCACTTATAGCAGTAACATACAAGACGCGCACATAACCTGACATGATTCAGGTTTATTAGGGAACACACAATAAAAAATACATATATTGTGTATCCCAACAATACCTAGCTAAAAATAAAAAAAAATATATATATATATATATTTTTTTACAAGGGTAATTTTTATTAAAGTCAGGATGAGCTGATTGTCCGTCTATTTGTTAATTTTGCAGCGTGCATGGTGCACCACAGGATTAGATTTTCTCGGAAAGAATAAATTGCAGTGAGCACCAGCATATAGTACAGTGACGTCACGTGCAAATCATGTTAAGCAGTTCAGTTTTCTGGTGAAACGCGACGTTCGCCACACTAGCCAATGTATAGATGTCCGAATTGTAAATTTGTGCGTTATATGTAGCATCTCGCGATGATATACGGCAGCCTAATAAAATGTTAAAACACATAACCGTGTGTAGCTCAGAGTTGTACAGTGAGGGCCCAAAACAAGTGCACGCAAAACCGAACATAACATTAGGGACTTTTAGCAAACCGTTACCGTGTTCCGCGTACCGTACTACCGGAGACTTTGAAGCATTCTTATAAGCGCACGCCCGGGTGATACCATGACCGCGGAGTGCGCGCTTAAAAGCATGCTCTGGTAGTGCGATAAAACACGCGGTAACGGCTTGCTAAAAGCAGACTTGGGAAGGAATCCGTTACAAGTAACGGATTACTTATCATCCGTTACTTTCTCAATTAATTTTGTAATTGCCACGTTACGTTTTTTTTTTTTGGCAGTAATTTGTAATGTAAGTTCGTCACAAATATTTGTAGCGGATTATTTCAATTACTTGTTACTTTTTTTTAATGTGAACATAATACAGAAGCTGGATCAATATGAGCACTCAAATCAGCAGCATAAAGATAGCAAGTGTAACAAAAGAACAACCGAAAATACAATTGCTAAAGTTGAACCATGTTAAAAGGGGAAAAAATTTTAGTCGAAGGAACAGACACAGAAGGGAACATCTAAAACTGAACTAGCTGGTTTATTTCTCAGGCATCCTATATATACCCACAAAACCACTCTCAACCACCTTCTACGTGAAGATCTTCTCTGTTGAAAGCACTTTCACATACAAAGGACATAAACATTCACAAGAGAGCAAATGGTCCAACCCACAATACCATGCATCATTGTCAATCACATTCTACGCAA